AAATATATTCATAAATAAAAGAATCAATCAATACACAAACACAAATATATTCATAAATAAAGGAATCAATCAATACACAATGAAATCAATACACAAACAAACAAATCTACAATTAAATAAAGACAAAAACAAATAAACGATGGAATAAATAAATAAAAGAGTCGATTTTTGCTCCCAGAACTGAATGAACGAGGTGCAGTTTGTTGCCCACTGCCTCCCACAGCGCACCTCCTTGCTCCTGAGTCCTGGCTTTAGGAGTTCATCTACTGGAGCAGACTTCACACGACAAGGAGCCGATCTGAAACAGCTTCTAAATGCTGCTCCATCCTCAGGAGACCAGGAGACTTTTACACCGTCACAGCGTTTCCCCAGGTCACTTGTCTTGGATACGGAGAGGACACATGTCTGTGTTGAACCTTCATTTCTACAGGTTGGTCTCACTGAGCCTCTGGACTCATTTACTACAGACACCTGGTTTAACCAAAGAGTGATGACACACTGGACAATCATGAAGGAGGAGAACAAACTGAGATGTTTATTTTTAAACAAATGAAAAGAAAATGGTATTTAAAAGAAAATGCAACAAAAAACAGCTAGATTATAAAGAGATGTAAAAAACTAAAAACAGGAACATGTCTGCGTTGCTTCTTCCAGGAACTTCACAGCTGTTTGAAGCCACTTAGAGAGGTCAAAGGTCGAGAGCTTCAGATCTTTTTGTAAGATATTCCAGGAAACAGGAGCGGAGTAGGAGAAGGTCCTTGTGTCTAGTTCAGTCCTCACTGAGGGAACACTGCAGGTAATGATGTCCTGAGAGCGCACGCTGTAGCTGCACTCACACAGAGACATGTAGGAGGAGATGTATGAAGGCAGCAGACCAGGAAGTGATTTAAAGATGAAAATGTACCAGTGGGAGAGTCTGTGTGAAGTTAATGGTGACCAGTTAACCAGTGAATACTGGGTGCAGTGGTGGGTACGATAATCACAGCCAGTTATGAATCTTAGTGCACCATGATAGACAGCATCCAACATCTGCAGCATCCAACATCTGCAACATCTGCAGCATCCAACATCTGCAGGGTTCTTGTAGGAGCGTTCATGTAAATAATGTCACCGTGATCAATGGAGGGAAGGAAAGTCACAGATACAAGGTGTTTCCTAACATTCAGAGTTAGACAGGATCTGTTTCTGAAAAACAAACCCAGTTTAACTTCCAGTTGCTTTACTAGATTTTCCATGTGAAGCTTAAAAGAGAGATGTGAGTCGACCAAGATACCCAAATATTTATAGGAATCAACAAACTCAATGGGGACACCATTTGCGGATAAAATAGGAGGAAGAACTGCTGGGACCGACTTCCTGTTAGAAAAAAGCATCCCTTTGGTTTTGTTGGCATTTAAGACATGTTTGAGGTGAAACAAATCAGTCTGGATGATGTCAGATGCAGATTTCAAAAGCTGGAAAGCCTTAGCAACAGTTTTACCTCGACAATAAACAACTGTGTCATCAGCATAGAAATGTATGGATGCATCAGGGATGCTCTGACCTACGTTACCTATCTAGATAGAAACGAGGGTGGGTCCTAAGACTGAGCCTTGTGGTACACCATTGTTGACTGTTAAATAACTGGAGGAAGTACCATTATGTTGAACACATTGCCTCCGGTCTGAGAGATAGTTAGAGAACCAACCAATGGTGTGTTCTGAGAAACCAATTTCTGAGAGTTTATGACACAAGATGTTCTGATCCACAGAGTCAGAATCTTTAGACAGGTCTAAGAAAAGTGCAGCACAATAATCCTTAGCATCCAGTGCTTCAACAACGTCATTAAGAACCTTCAGTGAAGCAGTGGTTGTGCTGTGTTGTTTCCTGAAACCAGATTGATGTGGAGGTAAGATGTTAAATGAGTCCAGGTCATTTTTGATTTGAGAGTTTATCAGTTTTTCTAGAACCTTGGCTAAAATGCAGAGTTTAGAGATTGGTCCATAGTTGTTCAGTGAGGTGGGGTCTCCTCCCTTCAGCAAAGAAGAACAAAGGCTGTTTTCAAGTGTCTGGATGGAGTTTTGTCTTATGGAGAGATTGAAGATGTGGGTCACAGGGACTGTGATGATATGAGCAGCCAGCCTTAAGAAATAAGGTGGAAGTTCATCTGGACCTGCAGATTTTTTAGGGTCAAGATCTTTTAACAGTTTATTGACCTCACTGACTGAGAATGGAGAAAAAGAGAAGCTGTGATTAACTGAGGATTGACTTGTAGGAGGGATTTGATTTGTAGAAGTTTGGTTATTAAGTGAAGTGGCTGATCTTCCATTAGTAACTGTGTCAAATAAAGAACCAGAAGCAACAAAATGTTTGTTGAGACAGTTCAGGATCTCGTGCTTATTTGACACAGGAACAGAGTTAACGAGAAGTTGTGATGGGAGGTCAGATGATTGGGGGGTGCCTGAGAGAGATTTGATGGTTTTCCAGAATCTGTTAGGGTCATTTAGATTTTTGGAGGTCTGAGATAAGAAATAGTTTCGTTTTGCTGCTTTGACAGCAGTTGTGCATTTATTCCTCATCTGTTGAAAACTCAACCAATCAGTGTCTGAGTCAGATTTTCTCGCTGTGGCCCAAAGATGGTCTCTCCTGTGCAGGAGGTCAGCTAGCTCTGGAGTAAACCAGGGGCTGTCTCGTCCCTTTATTCTGAACTGACGAAAAGGAGCATGTATGTTCAGAAAATAAATGAAACTATTATGAAAATAGTTCCAAGCAGAGTTCACCTCGTCAGTTAACAGAATACGATGCCAGTCAAAGTGAGACAGATCCCAGAGGAATGACTGTTCACAAAAACGTTTCAAATCCCTTTTTTGAATTAATCTGGGCTTAGAAGGTGGAAGTTTAATATCTCTCAAAGCAGCTGTCACACAATGATCACTCAAAATCAGGTCTCTCTTGTAAATGAGTCATCGAGGCTCAATAGGATTAACCAGTCTAAATAAAGGTTGAATGAAAAACAATGTCTGTGAATAATAGATCCCACGAGATCTTTGTAGAAAACTTCAGTGTTTAATGTAGCGGGTGATATGAAGCATTAATCTCATCTTCCTGATGCATGCTCAATAATCCAGACATCTCATCGTCATCACTTTGTTTGTTTGCATTTATTCAGACCACATCACCGCGCTACCCCCCCCCCCCCCAATTCAACTGTTTGTGTCTCCCGCTCCTGTTTTGTCCCTTTCCCTGTCATCAGGGAGGATTAAGTGGTCTGCCTGTCCCAGATTGGACAGATTAGCAGGGTTTAGGAGGATGGGGTGCTGTGTCCTTTCTTCTTTTCCCAACAGAAAACACCTTCATCAGCCTGCAGGCCTTAAAAGGGTGAACATGTTTTTGTACGTTTGTGTTTCTGTGTGTGTCTGTACAATATGTCACGACCCTCTGGACAGATTTGAGTAAAACTGTCAGAAAGTATTAATGAGATGTACATGTACAACAGATTAGCTGATAGAACATGGCTGCCACAGCTTGTGGAGCTTAACAAACACTAAAATGACTCTAACGCAGTCACTTTTACAGTGTTGAGCAAGTTCACACTTTACAGGAACTACCACCTGATTTAACCATTTTTGGTGATTTCTCTACATGACATGGATGATTGAGTTTACAAAGCTTTATTTTATTTTTTACAGGAACTAGTTAAACGTCCAACCCTCATCAGACTCAACTGAATTTAATTAGTTGATGGTGTATCACTGAAACGTTCTGAACTAAGTTCACAGATTCACAGAGAACTAGTTAGCTTTGTTTGTGATTTCCTGTCAGTTCTAATGATAATAGTAATGTATAATGATAATAACTAATAATAGTGGGTTATTGAAGCTCCTAACATGTTGCTGCTGTAGGTTCAAAGGCCGGTGCGTCGAAGGACACGTCTGATTGGACGATTAAAAACAAGGCGTTACTCGAGGGACACGTCTGATTGGACGATTAAAAACAAGGCGTAACTCGAGGGACACGTCTGATTGGACGATTAAAAACAAGGCGTTACTCGAGGGACACGTCTGATTGGACGATTAAAAACAAGGCGTTACTCGAGGGACACGTCTGATTGGACGATTAAAAACAAGGCGTATTGTCAGATTGTGTTAATCACAGACATATAGCATGTATGGTGTTAACCAGTCCAACATTAGCAGCGTCTCCATACCTTCGCTGTCCGCCTCTCTTAACACAGAACTTCCTGTTACATTTCAAAATAAGAGCAACATAAATGTGCAGTGGGGAGGGCTAAATGTTAGTTTTTTGAAACCTAGCCATTACATTAAAAACAAAATCTGTTTTGGTTGTTGAATAATGTGAAAATATTGACAATCGATTCATAAAGAAAGAAAAATAAAGTACCCAAAATAATAATGAAACTTCAACTGGGACAAAGGATGTTTCTTTAACTTCACATCGTCTTGTTCAACTCTTAAATCAGTCGCTGCAGATGAGTGATGTCAGGTTCTGTCAGAGTTCTGCACCTGGAGCAGGTATTCTGCTTACTGCTTCACCTCCTCAGCTGTCTCAGGTTTTAAGGCTCGGTCCTTCTCCATGTTTCAGCCCCTTTCATAGATTGAACTTCTTCTAGAGAGAACATTTTGTTTTGGGCCGTTATCTCGTTACAGCACTCCTGATCTTTAATTGAGACCAGACTTTTAGACAAATGGAGCAGGTTTCACTTCAGATGCTTCAGATTTCATTGTACCCAGACCAGACTCAACCAACCTGTGCCAGGTGCAGCTACAACCAAGACCTAAAGAGGATCTTCTTGTGTTTAACAGCAGATATAGCGCTGCTTCTTAGAAACCTTCAGTTTAAAGAAGAGCTGACGTAAGTTACCTAAGAGCAGCAGATACAGCTGCCAACCAGTGTTTGTCCTTCAGAAACACCCACTTTTGGTCTGCAGAGAGCCCCTTCTCGAGCTGTTTGCATCGCAGTTAGTTAAAATATTATTTTCCATCATTTTAAATCAAGAAAGAACCAGAGAGCACCACCATGTCAGAATGATGACCAGACCTCGTCGTACCGTTTGTCTCATGGTGATGACACTGGGCAGCCGTTCGGTGCCAAAGGGAGCGTGGTTGGGTGGCGCTGCAGGGGTGCCTCCATGAAACACTCGTTATAAAACAGTAGATAAACTCATGAAGGCATTTGTGCACAACACTAGATATTACGTTAAAATGTGGTGAGGTGGCAGCTGACGGTTGTAGTGAGCTAGCTGTTAGCTTCAACAGTAGGTGGTGGTGCAAGCTTAATCCCCGTACGGGCCACCAAAAATGTAGTATGTCGGGACAGCTTTGCTGCGGACACACTACTAATGAATTATTCTTAAAGCTAGTTCAAGCACAAAGAATATTAATTGTTTAATTAACAACGGATTCTTTCTTTTTCAAGTTAAATTTCTGCCATGTGTCCAAGATAACTTGAGAGTGAAGTGTTTAATCAGTGACATGAGACGCCATTTTATCTTTGACCCATCAGAATAAATGCGGTCATTTATTTCACAGAATCAAAATTTAACATCAAACATGTACACTTGATTTGCTGATCTGTTTCTGAGTAATAAACTTGGCAAGATTTACTAAACAAGACAACAGAAGTTTACTGATGGAGACTGATTCATCTCTGAAGGAACCTAGCTTAATTTACTGGTGAATAGAAGTTTAAAGAGAAGGGGTAAAGAAGTTTAAAGATTTAAAGAGGAGGTTTAGATGGATGAAGGAAGATGTGTTGACCAGGAATGGCACCCTTCTTTCGACACCAGCTCAGCCCTCGGTACACTCAGCGTGTGACGACTTGTTACCTTGGCAGAAGATAAATCAGCTCCTGTACAGAGGTCCATCTCACACTTCTTTCAGCGTCTCCGGTCAGAGTGGCTGGATATCGTCAGGAGTCGTGACGAAGTACTCCGTTCAACAGAATAAGCTTCCTTCGAAGTTGAGAGCATTTAATGCTCGGGGTGAGTCACAGCGAGGCAGCTGGGACGCCGCTGGAATGGACGGACCCTTGGCACATGGTCCAATTCCATACTCCAAAGCTGACTTTCAGTAAGAACTGAAAGTTCCTGTACGACTCGCCATCAGACCGAGTCTTCCAGTAAGGCTGAAAGTTCCAGGAAGACTGGGAAGACTGAATAGTTCCATGAAGTGTTGCCTTTTAAAGGGTATCCACTTCCTGTTACGTGGTACTTCCTGATTGGCTAACACAACCAGCAGGGGTGGAGTTTGAGTGATGCCAGAGGGTTATTAGAAGTCACAGACAGCAGACATGCTTTAAGAACGGTTAGTACAGACAGGAAAATATTTTGAAGAAGTGAGAGACTTTGCAGGTGCCAGCTTCTTATTTACTGTCTGAGAGTTTTAAAACAAGGCACTTCGTTCTCATAACTTGTCTCTGACATTTGACCGACATCAGGTCCACTCCTCACAGACAGAAGAGTAAAATGCACAATTACTTCGTAAATAGACATTTAACTTGTATGATCTAAGACTAATGAGGTTTAAAAATCATTAATACTGTTTCACAGTTGATTTAAATGAGTGGTTCACTTCAACATTAGAAATGTATGAACTAAACACACTTTGATTATCAAGATATTGTAAAATAGTAATGATAATATAAAAAGAAGAGTGTTCTTTCAATTGATTAATTCAGGATACAATTAAATAGTCTCTTGATGAGATCATTTGTGTTCTGGATTCAAATCAATGAAATAACAGTTCCTGTCCCCTGAAGGTCTTCAGAGACAGGTTGATGTCGGAGGTCTAGTTCACTACACGGTCATTGTCAACACAACTCAGAACCTTTCATGAAACGGCACAAAACATTTTCAAGTTTGGACTGAAACAGCTGTAACTCCGGCACCTTCCATCCATACTTTGTTTTTATTGTTTTCTGCGTCTTCTTCCTGAAGGTTATAGAATATTTGGCTGCACGCTCATATTCTTGTGAAGAAAGTCGCCTCTTAAATTTTTCTTTGGTCCCAGAACGATGGCACTGAGGGGGAGAAGGACGATGACGGCAAGAAGTCCAAACGACGTCCACGACCCGAGCCGCTCTTCATCCCTCCACCCAAGCCCAGTTTGTTCATCGTCCCGCCGGTCTACTCCAGCATCACGTCGTACCAGAGCCACCTTCGCTCTCCCGTTCGCCTCACTGACAACGCACTCACCATACCCCCCTACACGCCTCCGCCAATCCTCAGCCCCGTTCGAGAAGGCTCCGGCCTTTACTTCTCTACGTTCCTGTCGTCTGCTGCCGCCGGCGGCCCGGGTCTGCCTCCCCCCGCCACTCCCAAGTCAGCAACTCGCAGCTTGTTGCGTTCCAGTAAGTCAAAGATCTCGCTGTATGGAAACCTGTGCTCCCACCTAACATGTCACCTCATCAGTGGTTTTCGTGCAAGCTGGGCGTCGCTGTGTTCACCATGTTTTTATTATTTCTTACTGTAGACAGCTGTGACATCACACCACCCGTTTTGTCTGCGATGAGTGAGACCACTCCAGTTAGCATCGAGCCGTGAGTATTTCCAGGGGTTTATTATTCTTGCCTCTTCAGTCGTCACTTTGGAAGATGTTGTGTGGCACTTCCAAAGAAACTACATGCATGTTCCAGATCATGAATAATAGCCTGGCTCTAAATGCAACTGCAGGCGGACTCATAAACCGTCTCAGAGGAGAACACGTACTTCATGAAATTTCACGAGACCCTTGACTCGTGGGTAAGTGGGAGATGTGCTGCTGGATGCTTCTTGTGTCTCACATCAGCCCCATGAAAATGAAAACACACCCAGAGAGATTCAGCAACCCTAAACTTTGTTCTCCTTTGCTGAGGTCATCCATCCTCCTCACAGCTGTGGTACATCAAGATGCTGATTATTGCACATCTGTCAGGAGTGTCCACCAGAGCTGTTGCATGTGAGCTGAATGTTCTGTTCTCCACCATCAGTTGTGTCCAAAGGCGTTTCAGAGAATTTGTCAGTACCTCCACCCGGCCTCACAACCACAGAACACGTGTAACCACACCTGCCCAGGTCCTCCACAACCATCTTCACCTCCATGATGGTCTGAGCCACCAGACGGCTGCGGCAGCAGTCGGTTTGCATAACCAAAGAATTTCTGCACAAGCTGTCAGAAACGTCTCAGGAAGCTCATCGTCCTCATCAGGGTCTCCACCTGGCTCCACTTCGTCACGTTTGATGATGGCGTATGGCACGTTGGACAGATGTTCTCTTCATGGTTGAATCCCGGTTTTCACTGCAGGCCAGATGGCAACTGGCCTGTTGTATGGCGTTGTGTGGTTGAGCGGTTTGCTGACGTCAACGTTGTATATCGAGTGACCCACGGTGGAGGCGGGGTTATGGTATGGGCCGTCGTACGTTATGGACAACAAACACACGTGCATTTATTGATGGCATTTTGAATGTACTGATAAACTGTGAGAAGATCCGGAGCTCCTTTATTGCAACATTCATGCAACGACCGTCACCTCAAGTCACAGCATTATAACTGCACGCTCCCTCAAACATGCACCATCTGCGGCAACATGCTTTGTTTGAAACTGCACATTTTAGAGGGGCCTTTTGTTGTGGTCAACCCAAACCTGTACAATAATCCTGCTGTCTAATCTGCATCTTGTCTGCCACACCTGTAAGGTGGATGGATCATCTCCACAAAGTTCTCACTAACAGATTTACAACGTTTGAGTGAAGAAAGGCCCGTTGTGTTCATGGACCAAGTCTTGGCTCTTTGAGTTCTGCTCATGAAAAATGGGAGCAGACACAAAAGTGTTGTGTTTATATTCTTGTTCCGTATGTTTAAAGTGTAAAAAACAGGAAAGATCAACTCAGCAATGGAATCGAACTCCCTGACGTTGGATTCTCTAGTTTCTTTCTGAACAAGAAAAGCCCGTATCGTCACATCTCCACTGCCGTGCTTGACCTTTGGGATGAGGTGTTTTTGCACATCATGGCCCATGGATGGTTTCAAACTCTGCTGTTGATAATTGGGATGTGTTTGAGGTGCGTGGGAAAGGGGAGCGTATTGTGCTTGTAGTTTAATCACCAAAGGATGTAGCGAGCAGGGTTTCATCCTCCAAACTGTAGCTTGACTCGTACCATCTGCTCCATGCTCAGTCAGCCCACAGCTAGTGTGGCATCCCCTAATTAAACCTGGCACTTTGTTCCAGTTTGTCCAAAACACACGAATCATCCCAGTTCAACTTGAATGTCTTTTTCTGAGGGAGGCTCCCAGAACACACAGCAAACCTGCGTTACTGAAAATACTGGAAATTATCTGGGGCAGCGTAATTTTTAAAACTGAAACACAAACACATCCGGTTTTATTTCACAAGAAAGATTCTAGAATATTTATTTTGGATTTGCATGGATTATTGGATTATTTAACCATCAGCTGCTTGATGAGATGCAGGAACTGTGAATGGAGTTATGTATAAAACAGGAAGTCTTGGTGTGCTGGCACTAATCATTCTGTTCCGCAGGCGGATCAATATTGGGTCTCGGTACCAGGCAGAGGTACCGGAGCTGAGGCAGCACTCGGCTGTTCAGCTGGACCACAATCGAGCGGTGCTGGTGTGGGCGCCACTCAACGAATTGGAGGAAAAACTGGACTTTCAGAAAAAGGGTAACACAAACACGTTACTGTCTCTGCTGGACTAAAACTGTTGATGTAACGTTAAAAGTAATAATAATTTGTATGCCTCTTTTATGACTGTCTACTGTTGTCATTTTGGTGTCCTTTTAACTTGGTTTCAATCGTTGTTTTCAGTGGAAGACCTCATGCACTTGGCCTGCTCCAGTGTTTTGTGTGGAGGAGGCACCAACCAGGAGTTAGCCCACCACTGTCTGCATGAGAGCAAAGGGGACGTAATGGTGAGTCCACGCTGACTCATGATAGTGAGTCCACGCTGACTCATGATGGTGAGTCCACGCTGACTCTGACTCATGATGGTGAGTCCACGCTGACTCATGATGGTGAGTCCAC